AGCATATACCTCATATTCCTTGTTCCCTCAGAATTTACAATCCAATTGTGAGACTAGATGTACAACTTCTGTACAAAATTAGAAGTTGCTTGGCAGCTGGCAAGGGTATGGGCTTTTAAAAGTCAGACCTGAGGCCAGGCGCAGTGGCTCATGCTTATAATTCCATGCTTTGGGAGGCTGAGGCGGGTGGATCACTTGAGGTCAGGAGTTCCAGACCAGCCTGGCCAACATGGCAAAACCCTGTCTCTACTAAAAATACAAAAATTAGCTGGGTGTGCGGGTGTGGTGGTGGGCACCTGTAGTCCTAGCTACTTGGGAGGCTGAGGCACGAGAATCATATGAACCTGGGAGGTGGAGGTTGTAGTGAGCTGAGATTATACCACTGTACTCCAGCCCAGGCAACAAAGGGAGACTCCATCTAAAAAAAAAAAATGTTAGACCTAGTTCAGATCTTGATTCTGCCATTTACTGTGGTGTTAACTTGGGGACGTTAGTTATTTCTCTAAGCTTCCTTTTTTTCATTTGTAGATTGGCGAGGGAGGATACCTTACAGAGCTGCTGTGAGGATTAGAATGAGAAGAAATGAAGCAGTTATTGGCACCTAGTAGATGCTGAGACAATAATAAACAATACAGACTAAATAATCTTAGCTAACATTATTTGTCAACGTTACCCAAAGCAGGGTATGGATGAATGCCAATGTGGATGGTCTAAAATTCAGAGATGTGAAAGACTCTGAAAGCTGAAGTGGGTCAGGCAGCTTCATGGAAGAAGGGAATTCCTGAACCAGATTTTACAGAGATGACTGTGGCTTTCTTTTTTTTTTTTTTTTTTTTTTTTGTAGTTTACAGACGCTTTATTTGGCTATGTATTATTTATATTGTTGGAATTAGGTGCCAACATTTAAAAATTGGGTGAATTCTCATGAACGTATATTTCTAGCTTGCTCTGAAATATTGAAGGTTGGCAACATGTGGGCTGCATTTCAGTCATCAGAGCTGAGTAAGAGCTGCTGTCTTTAGAAAAGACATCCTTTGTCCTGTACCCTGAGGTATTTGAGTTTGAAACCCCATTTATAATCCCTTTTGATCTTTTCCCCATTAGGTAATGTATTAGTTTCCTATCACTGCTCTAACAAAGTACCACAAACAGTGGCTTAAAACAAATTTATTCTCTTATGGTTCTGGAGGTCTGAATTATAAAATGGGTCAGCAGGGTTGTTACTTCTGTGGGCTCCAGGGAGAGTCCATTTCCTTGCCTTTTCCAGCTTCTAGAGGCCACCTGCATTCCCTGGCTCCTGGTCCCTTCCTCCATCTTCATTGAGATGGTTGAGGTTTTAACTGGGTGTAGGGAAAAGCTTCATGTCTCCTTCTGCTTGTTCATTTATAATACAAATGTTGGTTGAGGATCTATTGTGTGTCACCTGTGCTGAGTGCAGGGACAGTGAACAGACAGATAACCTGATCTCATGGAGCTTATATATGCTTGGGGTTGGGGCTGGAGGTGTTGAGGAACAATACAATAAAAATGTAAAAATTTCAGTGAGAAGAGAAACATTTCTCAGCATGGTGGCTCATGCCTGTAATCCTTGCATGTTGGGAGGATGAGGCAGGCTGATCACTTGAACCCAGAAGTTCAAGATCAGCCTGGCAACATGGTGACACCCTGTTTCTTAAAGAAAAAAAAAGATGTGTACCTGTAGTCCCAGCTATTCAGAAGGCTGAGGTGGAAGGATTGCTTGAACCTGAGAGGTCAAGGATACAAAGAGCCATAATTATGTCACCACACTCCAGCCAGGGTAACAGAAGGAGATCCTGTCTCCAAAAAACAAAAACAAAAAAACAAAACAAAACAAAAAACAAAGGGCAAATATCTGGAATATGTGTGTACTGTCTATACAGGGATTTAAAAGTGGCTGGGTAGCTATCATAGCTAGGTAGTCAAGGTAGACCTCTCTGTCTAGGTGACATTTGATCTCAGATGTAATGAAGAGAAGGAACGAACCATGCCATGATCAGAAAGACTCATAGGCACAAGGAAGCGCATGTGCCAAGGCCCTGAAGCAGGAATGAGCTCAGGATATGCAAAGAGCAGAGAAGAGGTGGGTGTGGCTGGAGCATGGTGAGTGGGAGGAGAGCTCCAAGAGGACTGGCAAAGTCAGATATGCTGGTGCCTTGACTGGGCCAGGGTTTGGATTGTATTTTAAATATAATAGGATGCCATTGGAAGGTTTTCAGGAGGTTGCCAACATGATCTTAGATATTTGGAAACGCTCACTCTGAGTGTATGTGCAGAGTGGATTGTAGGGGCGGTAGTCCAGGTAGAGCTGATGGAGGGTTGGACTGAGTGCTGCTATTAGAAATGGAGAGAAGTGGGTGGTTTTGAGAAGAAGCCCGCAGCTGTGCTTCTTTGTGTCTTTTTCCTAGCATGTTACAGCTTTGGCTTATGCTGTGCTCTGAGGAGACCGCCCCTGGGTGTTGCCAGCTTCATGCCTGGGAGAAGGAGAGTGACAGCCCTGGGCCAGTGCTTGTCTGGCTTCTGCATAGCCTGACAGTGTGGAAAGGAGGCTGTGGCCAGCCTTGCTCAGCAATGTCTTTCTGGAGTGTTGACCACTTAGGTCATGTCTGGACATTCTTACTCTAGACCTTGTCTCCATCCCAAACTAAACATGTCCATTTGCTGTTAATTCCACCTCCCTTTGGAGGAACTCTTTCCCTGCCTTTGCTGATGGAGAAGTCTAGGTAAACCCTCTGGATCTTCTATCTCTCCCAAGCTTGCCCAGAAAGGGACTAGAGTACTGTGTCCCTGAGTGGAAGAGTCTGGTCAGACTGAGATCTGTACTGCGTTCTCTGCCAGCCTTTGCCAGTGTCTTCACCCTATGTCATGAGTGGGAGAGCCCCAAGCCCGAGGAATCATGTTGGTGGAGATTGTCCTCACTGCATATTCCCCATTATGCACAGTGTTTTTTAGCACAAGAGTTATTTTTAACTTAGTTTCTCTTCTTGCTTAGGAAGAAGAGATTAATAATCTCTCTTCCATTGCATACATGCAGTACTTTAAGGTTTCTGGTGAGTTTTCAAAGACATTAACTTACTGTTTGTCACAAGAGGCCTAGGAGATGTGTGGGCCACCCTTATCCCCATTGTTACTTTTTATTAAAAAGTCTTGGACACAGTGATTACTGGGTTAATAAACTGCAGATGAGGATCTGCAGTTCATAAATGATGCTGCTGGCCATTTCCTTCTATTTCTTTAGTGATGTTGACTGAATGTTCTTTTATGCTTTAGGAATAAAACATGCTTGCTGTTGCATTTAGCAATTTGAAATGCCCCGTCTTAGAGATGTGGAAATGAGGCCGAGAGAGCTGCCAGGACTTGTTGGAGCTCATGCAGCTGGGCCTGGGCTAGAGGGCAGGTGGCCCGGAGCTTCTCTATCCTGCTATTGTGGTTCTCTATGGTGGCCCTTCTAGTATCTCCCTGGAGGCTGGTTTGAGGCTGTGATTGCCGGTGCCTTGGTGAAAGGGGAAGTCCTGTTTTTTTTTTTTTTTTTAGACAGAGTCTCACTCTGTTGCCTAGGCTGGAATACAGTGGTGTGATCATGCCTCACTATGTAGCCTCAACCTCCTGGGCTCAGATTATTCTCCCACTTCAGTTTCCTGAATACCTGGGATTATAGGCACATGCCACCATGGCTAATTTTTGTATTTTTTGTAGAGATGACGTTTCACCATTCTCCCAGGCTGGTCTCGGGTTCCTAGGTTCAAGCAGTCCTCCCGCCTCAGCTACTCAAACTGCTAGGATTACAGGCATGAGCCACTGTGCCCGGCTGAAAGGGGTAGTTCTTAACTACATGGCAGGAAGGGAACATGAGGGTCTTTTTCCCCTACATCATGTTGACTGTCCTAAAAATGCCATGGGTCTGGACAGCAGCCCCATTCCTCACCCTAAGCTTTCTTAACTTTGCCAGGTCCTTTGACTTGGGAGAGTCCTGGTAGCTGTAGAAGGAGCAGCAGCTCTGTACTCAGGCAGGCCTGGCTTTGGATCCTGGCCTACTATTAACTCGTCAATGGGCAAGTTACTTAAAGATTCCCTCTTTGAACCTCAGTTTTCTCATTTGCTATTGGTCTTATCCTAGAGCGTGATGAGGGTGAGAGATAATGTGTCATGTGTTGGCAGCCTGGCATAGGGCTTCAGAGTCCAGACTCTGGAGTTGACTGCCTAGGTTCAAATCCTGCCTCTGCTACTTAATGACCTGTGTGACTGCGGGCAAGTTACTTAAACTCTCTGTGCCTCACTGGCTATTACCAGAAGTTGCACATTTTGTCTTGTACCCTTTGCCCAGGAGTAAGAATCTCTTATTTTCTTCACTCCCTAATCCCATTCCAAACAGAGGCAAGGGGATTATCAGCTGAGAAGAACCTGGTTTTAGACATGACATTTTACTTTCCTGAAGCCTACTGGATTGGATGAAGCATTTCTGCTCACTCCCTAACAGGAAGGGACAGGGTCTGCATGGGAGAGATTGGTGATGCCACCTCAGAGGAGGACCCAAACAGGAAGTTTGGAAACAAGTCAGTACCTACAGAAACTTAAGTGAGGAACTTCCTGGTGCTTAACACACAAATTCAGCCTTACTTTTCAGGAAAATAGCAGATGCCTAAATGTCATTGGCAAGCAGGGGAGAAGGCTATTGGTTTGATTTTTGAGTAAGATCTCAGTGAAGAAAGAGCAGTTTTTATCTGTTTGTCTTGATGTGCTTTGGTTCTCCTAATGAGGAAATGGAGGCTAAAGGGAAAGCTCCCTCTGCCCTTAATTAATTAGAGTCTTCTGCAGTATGTGCTAATTTGTTGTTTTCAGCTAGACTGTTGGCTCCTTGAGGGTGAGTGCCAAGGATTCCCCAGCCTTCCTAGTCCCTGCTGCGCCTCGCACAAGGCTAAGCGGGCAGAGCAGTCTGCTCATGACTGAACGAAGCCCACTTTGTTGTCATCTTTGTTTTCCAGAGTGAGTATATTGCTCCGTGTGACTGTCGGCGGGCTTTTGTTTCTGGATTCGATGGCTCTGCGGGTGAGTCACTTACATTTTCTCTGTTCTTGCTGCACCTTTTTTCTCCTAAAAATAACTGAACCAAGTTTCAGCCTGTGATATAGAAGTAAAAAGAAAATGCAAACCAGATGCTTCTCATTGAATCCCTACAGAAAGGTGTGGGTTCCCAGCCTTTCCTGGCTCCCCAAGGTCACCTTTCAGTAACTTTTTATTCCTCCCTGTACCTTTGCTTTCAAAGTTTTGACAATTTTTATTTTAAAAAAGTTTTTGAACTTTTTATTGAATACAACATACATATAAAAGTTCTATCAATTAAACTAAATATACCTGTGGTACTAGCACCCCAAATAAGAAATGAGACTTTAATATCATTCCAGAACCTCCCCTCTTAGCTTATTGGTCCCAAATAATTCTCTAAGTGCTTGGCTTTTGGTTTTTCAGTTTTCACTCGTGGCTTAAATAGCAAAGGTTAACGTTAAGCTATATTTGTGTCCTTCCGTAGTTTCCTCAAAACTGTGAATTTTGGGGTGGGCTCCCTATTTCAGTTTGTCTCTAAAGCAAACTGGACAAGGTGGGAGCTGCCATCCCATTGCGGTTAGCACACTGCTTCCTTTGGCATAAGTGCTTGTGTTAGTTGGCACATTAGGATTGGCTTTGGCTGACATCTCTGCCAAAAGCCCCAAGTTCTGCCAGTCCTGTGGGAACTGAGGGCAGATACAGGTAGGAGGCACAAGCTTCCTGCTAGGAACATGCATAGGACCCACTTGGTCTTTCTCTAGGAAATGTGAAACAGCTCCTCTGGGGTGTCTGGTGGAGCAGAGGAGTAGCTGTGATGGCAGAGCAGGAACCATCCCTCCCTCTGTAATGTTGATTATATGAGACCACTGTGGCCATAGGTCTACAGTTCTCCATTCTCTGGCCTTGTCACATATTGTGCAAGTGCAGTCCTTTTTGTGCAGGGTCCAGTGCCAGGCAGCTTGGGTCTCAGGACTGTTCTTTCAGAGCTTGACACACAGCTTGTTTTCCAAGGTGTGGTCTTCTCTTGCCCAGAGGTTTCTTTGGAGTCAAGGACCCATCTGCCCTATGAGGAGCTGGTGCCTCTTACTGTTCTCGCCTGTCTGCTGTCATTTTGTGCAGCTTCTGGGCAGTTATTAGAAACCTTTTTTTTGCCCCCCTGCTCCAGGCACAGCCATCATCACAGAAGAGCATGCCGCCATGTGGACTGACGGGCGCTACTTTCTCCAGGCTGCCAAGCAAATGGATAGCAACTGGACACTCATGAAGATGGGTGGGTACAGGCATGGCTAGCCCGAACTTAGTTAGCCTGATCTAGGCAGGGATCCTAGAGATCCTCAGGACTCCTGGATCTTAATCCTTTTACACAGTCATAGACCCTTTTGAGAATCCAAGGAAAACTGAGGGAAAAAAATGTCATGTCTATCCATGCATACCAATGTACGTTCAATTTTGGAGGACGCTGGTTCTCATTTTACTGAGGGAAAACAGGGCTAGAGAGGACAGTTGACTTGCTGCAGATCATGTTGCTGTCTGCTTCACTCCTGTACTGGGGGCCTTCTATTTGCTGCCTCATGATTCAGAGTGAAATAAAGGCAAGGTGTCGCTGGCAACAGAAGCCAGAGTGCTCTCCCCCGAGGCTCTCTCTGAGGATCTTGGACTTGCTTCTGGCAGCTCTGCTCTGGAGGGCAAGAGAAAGGGTCGGGAACTTTCTTGGGCCAGTTGCTTCACTTGCAGTGCTTTAGTTTACTCATCTGTAAAATGGGTTAATCACAGTCAGTAAGGAACACATAAAGTGGTGAGAATTAAAGCAATGCTATGTGGAAAGCATATAGATCAATGTTTATTGAATAATGTGTGTATGTACTCTGTGTTTTCATTTAATTTTCTGCCATATGTATTTTCCTGTCATTAAAATTGTCTTTAGAAACACGGTTTTAGTGATTGTACAGAGTCTTTCCTTCCTGGATTTTGAACTTGGGAAACAGAAGATAAGGAAGGGACAAGTGAGAAAGAAACAAAATACCTGATGCTTCTCATTTGTTGTTGGAAATACTGAGGAAAGGAAAGAGTCCGCAGACTCAGCAGGGAATAGCAGACTGGCCTGTAACCCTGAGATCCAGGCCGCCAGCTGACCGAGGGGTGTGTGCCACACACCCTACACACACACACACACACACACACACACACACACACCCTCCATACACACACACCCTCCATACACACATACTGCCTCCACACACACCGCCTCCACACACACACACACACACCCCCTCCACACACACACACACACACACACACACCCTCCACACACACAGACACACCCCCTCCACACACACACACACACACACACACCCTTCCCCCCCGCCCCCACACACGTGTTCCTTGTCTTAGGGAGGAGCAAGGAACATTTTTGTCCTGGCATTGGATTATTTTAAATTTTTATTTCTCTAAAATCTTTTCATAACTGTAAAAACACCAAAGCTACAGATTGCTGCCTGTGCTGCAGTTGGTTTCTCCTTCCCTTTCTCTCTCTTTCACACACACACACACACACACACACACACGCGCACACGCACAGAGGCAGGTATTTGAGGCTGGCTGTTATAAAGGGACAGGCTAATGGCTTTTACGTTTTTTTGTTTGAGTGCTTTTGTTAATGGGAGTCAAGCACCCACAACATGTATGTATGTTTGTTTATATGTTACTTATATGTGCTCATGTTCTTCTATATTCCAAATATCAGAAACTAACTTTGTAATTTTTTATAAAAAATACAGAAAGAAGCTCTTATACTTTTTTCTTGCACCCAGCAGATCATTGTGTCCCCCTGGGGAGCAGGCATCTCTCTCTTTGGGGCCCATAGATTCCAGCTGTTAAGTCTGATAGCATTTTGGGGGTCAGAATGTTAGAGGCGTGAACACTGTCTGCCTGTTCGTTAATGTAGGTATGTGGCAGCAAGGAGGTGGCAGAGGGAGTGAGTCCTCCTCTTCCAGGCCCCTCCCTAGTTTCCTCAGTCGAGTCTTCTGTGTAGGGAGATTCTGGTGGGTTTGGTTGGCCAGTGAGTGATTCATCCCTGGGGTTTTGCCAAAGATCTGTCTGCTAGGAAATGACATGACTTTATCCTGTGAAAGTTACAGTATGTAGTATACTATGGGCATTAGGAGAAACTGTGTTAATAAGTGGCTTGTTTAGTGGTTTGAAAAAAATAGGAAAGAATCAAATAGCAGAATAAAACTCAATGCCAGCTTCTAGACAGTTTTTTAGTATTGGAATTCATGAGGTTCTTTCTTTATAAGCCTTTGCACTTCCCTTCTGTGGTTATGTGGTTATATCAGTAGTCAGTAGAGAAAGTAGTAAAGATAGTTTCTACTGTTTTGGAATATGTGGACTTTTACTCTATTATACGTATAGTTTACCAAGATGTTAATTGTTTAGCCAAAATCTGATTGGTTAAAAAAAAGTATATATCTCAAAGTAACTGGCTAGATATGGAATATGTTGGCTAGATATGGAAGATATGTTAGATGAAAGGAAAACTGGACTATAGACGTAATTTTAGTTCCATTCTGAAGGCCAATATGGGTCCTATGACTAGCATCTTAGAAATAGAAAGGTTTTTTTCATCCTGAGAGTTGGGAAACCCAGAGGCCCATGTTAAAGACAACAGATGGCTAGCAGTTTGGGAAGCTGAGGCAGGCAGATCACATGAGGCCAGGAGTTTGAGACCAGCCAGGCTAACATGATGAAACCTCGTCTTTACTAAAAATACAAAATAAGCTGGGCATGGTAGTGTGAGCCTATAATCCCAGCTACTTGGGAGGCTGAGGCAGGAGAATCGCTTGAACCCAGGAGGTGGAGTTTGCAGTGAGCTGAGATGGCTCCACTGCACTCCAGCCTGGGCAACAGAGCGAGACTCTGTCTTCAAAAGTAAATAAATGAATAAAGACAACAGGACAGGTTCCTGTGTGCCTCTCTTAAAATCTTTGGAAAGATCTCTTTACTGCCCGGACTTGTGCACAGCCCTGGGGCAGGGGCCTTCTCTTGGCTTAGAGATGAGGGGTGGGCACTAGTAGCATGTTATCACCTTACCTGGTATGTGATACTTGGGAGGCTCCCAGTTCCCAGACTTCATCAAATAACTGCCCAGGTTCTCATCAAGTGACCAGTAGTTGAAGGCTGAGGAGATGATCTTTGTGGAGACGCCCTGTGCCTACATGGCAATCATCCATCCCCAGGATATTTTTACGAGTCAAGTGAAAAATCTTGCTTTTTTTCCCTTCTGTCTCACCCATGTCTTATGCTTTTCATACACACCAACTTACACTTCTCCCTCTCTTTCTGTAGCCTTCCAGGATTAAGGGAGATTCAGATTTTCTAAGCCCTGTCAATCCACTTTAAAGAAGCTGCTTTAATAAAGACCCTGCTATCATGATGTTAGAGAATTGCCTCCTTCTGGTGGGATAATGAGTGTGAGTCCACTGGGAATTGTTTCTTACCAGTTCTTCCCTCCGTAGGTCTGAAGGACACACCAACTCAGGAAGACTGGCTGGTGAGTGTGCTTCCTGAAGGATCCAGGGTTGGTGTGGACCCCTCGATCATTCCTACAGGTGAGTGAGCTTGGTCCCATTCTGCTTGTGTAAGGAAGTGGCTTCTAGACTCCCCTCCATCCTCCTTGTTTGCTTGTGGGGTGTGGAGCATTTGGGGCTCAGTATGACTGATTTTATAGTGGAGGTCAAGGTGAGAAAAGTTCCCCTGGTGGTGAAGATGTGCTTTTGCAGTTCCTCATCCTGGGCACCCAGCTCTGGACCACGGCACCACCACCTTTCCGAAGGTTCCAGGTTTCAAGGCCCTGCTGCCTGCCCTGCTGCAATGGGTGTTCAGCTCATTCCTGGGCCACAATGTGTCTCCTCAGATTATTGGAAGAAAATGGCCAAGGTTCTTCGAAGTGCTGGCCACCACCTCATTCCCGTCAAGGAGAACCTCGTTGACAAAATCTGGACAGACCGTCCTGAGCGCCCTTGCAAGCCTCTCCTCACACTGGGCCTGGATTACACAGGTCAGAATCACGGTTCCACCCAGCAGGGCCCCCACCATTGTCCCCCTACCTCTTGCTGTTGTCTCCAACCTCGTCCTCTGAAGCCAAGTTGAGTTTGAGCTGACAGGAGGATTTTGCCCTATGCTGCCTTAGTGGGATATTTGAAGAGGCAGGAGCTTTATTTGTTTCCACTGTTGCCACCTACTTACCACTTAGTGTGGCTTTGGTTATTTTTGCAAAGCTCATTTGGGTGGCTTTTTGGGTGCTGCTGAAAGCACTGAGTTGTTTTTTTTAATCACTCAGCTGCTAACTGCCACTCTAACGTATTTGATATTGGAAATAGAGCATAGAGGCTCCGAGGTTCCGTTTCCCTTCTTGTGTCAGCATTTGTAGGTTTACCTTCCTAGGCCGCTGTCTTCCATCTTGTACCTTCTACTTTGGAGGCTTTGGGGTGTGGATGTGTTTCCCTGGCCTGTGTGATAGTGGTGGGTATGCAGCATGTTCTCTGAACCATTGTGTGGATTTATGAAGCAGTGAAGGGGCAGAGGGAGAGGCCTGGAGGTGGGACTGCAGGGGAGGGCGCCTTGCTGTAAAAACAGAGGTAGATGGGGGATGGCTGTGGAATGTAGGCAGATTGCCCAGAGGGGTCCTGGGAAGAAAGCATGACAGCCTAGATCCTGGGCCAAGTTTTAAACAGCATTCCCAAACTGATCTTCAAAGCAGCCCTGGGTGTGAGGGCAGCCCCCACCCTGCTTTCTTATATGACATTCTCACCAGAGGGGTATTGCCCAATAGGGAGGATGGGTCCAGTGAGTGGCTCAGGGTCAGCTAAATATTTTCCATCAATGTGGTTTGAAGTTTTTTTTCACTAGAGCAGAAACTCTGACTTTTTGCTTGTAGGAGAGGAGAGAACAAATGTTGCTGATAAAGCTTTTGTTTAGTTCTCATTGGGTGCTCACTATGTGCAGGATGCTGTGCGAGGTGACAGATGCCTAGCCTGCTCAGGTGGCTGTTCCCCGAGTTATGAATGCTGCCCTGGTAGGGTGATTGTGGTGGCAATGGGGTGAGTTCCTCTAGCACCACGATTTCATCTTACAGAGCAGCAGGGAGGCCTTGGCAGTGTCTGAAAGGGCGAGTATGATTTGGAAGTGGTAGTCACAGTGAGTCAGACTACAGGGAATTCCTAGGTCTCAGCACCAAAAGGCAAGTCTTGCAGCCCCCGGAACCTCAAGTGGTGGGTGCGGTTCCCCTGACCTCTGAGACTGGTTGAGTCCCTTTTGCTGGGCAGTGTGTTGATGTAGCTCCCGTGTGTCCCCTATTGCCTCAGTATTTACAGTAATGTATCAGTTGCTGGTTTAGTTGTCTGTCTTCCCTTCTAGATTGTAAGCCCCATGAAGATAGGGACTGGGTCTGGCTCAGAGCTGTAACCACAGTGACCAGCAGAGTGCCTGGCATGTATCTATGCCTGGCAAGTCTAGATGCTAATAGGCATTTGTGGAATGCATAAATGAATGAATTTTACTGATAAGGCAATGAAGGCTCACAACAGTCAAGTGGCTTGGACACATCTTGTATAGGGCTTGAATCCAGGCCTCCTGCCTGTGTAGGTAGTGTGCTCCCTGTAAGAAGTGGTGCTGATTAAAGATGTTTGGGGTAGGTTCTTTCCCTGGGTTCCTACTGCTTTCTGGGCGGGGCTGGAGTTAAAGCACATTTGTTTCTTGCAGGCATCTCCTGGAAGGACAAGATTGCAGACCTTCGGTTGAAAATGGCTGAGAGGAACGTCGTGTGGTTTGTGGTCACTGCCTTGGATGAGATTGCGTGTGAGTGCTCTGGTTTCATTGCTTGGGCATGTTACCCAGTCTCTCCTTTGGGTCTTTGGGAAATCTGTGTGTTCATGCCATTCAACTTTCTGAGTGGCCAGGGAAGAAGCAGAAGACTGCCACCAAATGGCTATAGGAGATGCCAGCTAGGATGAAGGAGAAAGAATTACAGGGAGTTGGGGAGGGGAGCGAGGGTTGCCCAGAGCAGTATTACAGCTGGGTGATTCCCACCTCTGGCCAGTCTCTCAGGATCTTGGCACCTCTGAGGAAGGGCACTTCCTAAAAACATTTTGTGTCTGTCAGCCTCTCTGTATGTGTAGAAGTGGGATCATAGGGGACACCTGTTTTCCTTATATTTGTCCTGTAGTTGCCTAAGGTCTTTATAGCAAGAATGTTCTGGGAACATTTCTGACTCAGGAAACTGGGAACTAAAAGTTCCTCCCCAAGCCCATTGATATAATAGCAGTTTCTCAGTCTTTAGACCTTAATGCACCTTCGTGCAGTTGTTCAGCACCTTCTTTCATCTGAAACCTGATGGAATCTGGTTGAACCTTCCTGTCCTATCTTATGGTTTCTGAGTGGATTTACCCAGGGCAACTGAAAAGAGGCACTGCTTTATCTTTTTGCCTTCTCGCTAGAGAATGAGACCCTACTGCAGTGTCCTCTCTCTTCAATCCCTGTGTCTTCCATCCCCAAAGCATTGTCAAGTGTATCAGTGACTTACATTCCTAATTAACTTGATGGCCTCAATTCAACATCAGAGAAAAACACATATACAACTTTTTTCTGTCCCTGATTGTAACAAAAACACAATCCCATGATAGAAAACTTGGAAAATGCAGAGGAAGAAAAAGAAAAAAAAAATCACCTGTAAATTCTCTTACTTAGAGATAACCAATGTCAGTACTCTATACATGTATCATTTTATAGCCGGATATTTTCAATGTATCAGTATACTATAAGCATATATAAGCCTAATTTTAAAGTGAGTATTAAAGATTCCAACATGTGGTTATATCATAATTTATTTAACCGTTTCCCTAAGGATGACCTTTGGGTTATTTGCAGTTATCCCATAATTTATTATAATGCTACCACCAAAATCTTGATTCACGAATCCATGGCTTAGTGTTTGATCATTTTCTTCCTACTTCTGGTTGGCTTTTAGGGCTTTTGACTCATCTTGCCCTTTGCCTGCCAGAAAGTTTGCACTGTGGTATTTGAGTTTGTCCATCTTGCCACATCCTAACCCCAGGTACTGTCACTTTTTAAGAAGCGCTAGTATGATAGGCAAAAATGTTGCCTCATCACTTTGCTTTGAGAAGCCATTATTTTCAAATAGAGGTAGTACTTTTAATGCCCAGACCTTTTTTTTTTTTTTTACTGTGATCCTCATGAATGCAGCGATGGGCAGCTGGAAGTCCTGGGACCGGAACTGTGCTCTCTCTTGGTCTCTAGTTCTCAGACATTCAGTGACATCATGACACTGGCTGTCCACAGGTCCCCCACCCAGCTGTGGTGCCAGAGCAGACTCATGGCTAGCCTGCAGGCTCTTGCTTTCATTTGTGAGCTGCAGCCTCGCTGACTCACTGCTTTTCTTTCCACCTCTGACAGGAAGCTCTGTCTCCATGGGGCTCACTGACCCTTACAGAGAAGGCCTGCCTAGCTTCCCTTGTGGGAGGGTCTCAGTTTTTCTACCCTAGGTCATCTGCCTCAGAAGGGAGAAACTGCTTGTCTCTTTCCTTTTTATTTGGGAATGCCAGATGTTTATTGGCTTCAAGGCCAGGCCTGGCAGGTCACCACTAGGCGGATCATTTCAACTCTTTGTGGGGGCAGTTCTCATGATTTTGACTAATAGCTTTATTCCCCTTTCCGGGCAGTGATGTGGGAGTATGAGAAACAGCTCTGGTGCCATCACGTGGTGGGCATGAGCAATTGCAGCTCAGAGGTGGAACCAGGCAGGAGTCAGGCTTCCGGCCTTTCTGTGCGGTTCCACTGAGTCCTTCCATAGCAGCTGGACTCCAAGCTGAAACTTTTCCCTCCCCCCTACAAGCGACCCCTTACAATCTTAAGTCAGGCAGGTCACAGGGACTTTGATTTCTTTTCTAGGGCTATTTAACCTCCGAGGATCGGATGTGGAGCACAATCCAGTATTTTTCTCCTACGCAGTCATAGGACTAGAGACAATCATGTGAGTGTTTGCCCCACATCTGAAACTTCCTTCCACAGCTCCTCACAGCCCTGGTGTGCCCTTTCTGGTGCTGGCCCACCCATCACTGCCTGCTGTTTCACTAATGCACTTCTTTTTTTCTTGCCCCTTTAACATTTTCCCTTCTTTTCTTCCTTAGCAGGTGTTTATTTATATCCTGCCTCTCTTTGAGCCCCCAAAATGATTTGAAATGCATGAAAGTATAGTACTATGAGACTAAAAAACAAGTAGGCGAGAATATTAGGACCAAGCTGGAGTGAGGTTAGTCCTTATGAGTGAGGTTAGTTCACAAAATTTTTGCTGCAAGGTCTTGTTGAGGCCACATATTTGATGCCAAGTTTTCTAGCAGCCAGTGTAAAGGGGTATATATGTTCAGTTATACAATTCTGGGTCCACAGTGCAAATAAACCCAGTCATTTCAAAGGTCAAAAATAATCTGGGAAAACCCCTGAAACTACGCTTTGTTGAATTGTCAGTTTATTTTTTCAAAGCATTTCTTGTGGCCTTCTTGTCATTACTATTCTATTTAAATAGCTTTTTGCATTAAGGCAACACATTTATTAAATGCCTGTGATTTGCCAAGGGTCTCTGATAGGTGCTAGGGTGTCTGAGACAGGATGGGGTCCTGGGTTGGAGTTGGGTAGATGAACATCTCCTCTATCTAAAGCATTTGGGCATTTAAGTGGGTACCAGCATGCCTGTGGGATAGATACAGGTGTTATGAGAGGGGCCTGACCTAGACTTGGAGATCAGAGGAGACTCTTGGGGAATGTAATATTGAAGCAGATAAATGTGAGTGAGTTAGGTGAATGGCAGGGCGAGGAAGAGCAGGGAACTGTGATCCAAGCAGAGGGAACAGCATTTTTGGAGGCTCTGGGCAGGAGAGATCACAGTGCATGGGGAGGACCTGAAGTGGTTCGGTGAGGTCGGAACATAGTGAAGCCAAAATGTTAGCAGGGGCCATGAAAAGGAAAGGCCTTGTGGGCCACAGTCAGGAGCTTGGGTTCTTGTTCTGAACAAGAATAGTGGGAAGCTATGGAACACATTTTTCAGAGGGAACCACATGTTAGACATACAAGTTGTAAAGAATATGACTGAAAAATCGACAGATGGAGAAAGACTTAGAGTTGATGGCACTAACCCAAGTGAGAGATGGTGGGACCTGAACCTGCATGGTGACTGGCTGAGGCTGTAGATAACCTGAACAGATTCGATGGAGAATTAGGCTGTGGGTCCCAAGGTCTTAATGAAGGAGGAGAAGAGGGTCATCAGTGAAGGAGGACACTGTCCAGATTTCTGGCTTGGCGGGTGGATGATGACAACATAAATGGGGACAGGGAATACAGCTTGGAGAGCAGGATTTGGGAAAAGAGTGGGGAGGAGAGAAAAGCGGCTTGCTTTGTTGCTGGGAAACAGAGCCTCATGTGTATGTGTTGCCACCCTCTCACTCATGTTCCCTCCCCCTCACTTATGTTCCCTCCTTTTTCTGCCACCAATGTCTCCTTCATCTGCAGGCTCTTCATTGATGGTGATCGCATAGATGCCCCCAGTGTGAAGGAGCACCTGCTTCTTGACTTGGGCCTGGAGGCTGAATACAGGATCCAGGTGCATCCCTACAAGTCCATCCTGAGCGAGCTCAAGGCCCTGTGTGCTGACCTCTCCCCAAGGGAGAAGGTGTGGGTCAGCGACAAGGCCAGCTATGCTGTGAGCGAGGCCATCCCCAAGGTTGGTGGCCCCACTTTGGCCCATCTAATCCCTGCCACCCCTTTCCCAGTTCTGGTATTGTCTTTGGAGCAGAGGCAGATCTCTGAGGCTGCCTGTTGGATCAGAAAGGTGGTCTCCCTGGATGAGGCCCTAGAGCTGGAGCCAAATTGAGAGCTGGAGGGCCCTTATTGCTCGTTGAGTCCTGTGTTTTCCAGAACATGGTATGAGAGATGATTTTAGGTGATACACATTGTTATTTAGGTTTACTTAAATGTATCTGTTTTAACAGCATTTAGCATGTAATAGAAAAAACATATTTAGCATGAATTCATGATATCATAATTATTTTAGATAAAGTTGAATTTAATAAATTAAGTTGATTTAAAGAAGGTCTAAAGAAAAGTACTAAGTAAATAAGGAGGATACAGCAGATAAGAAGCTAGGGTAAAAGCTGTGCAGGTGGTATGAGAATGCTTGAAGCTTGAGAAATACTTCTCTACCCCCTCCTTCTGCCCAACACATTTTATAGTTAAGGACACTTGAGGTCCAGAGAGGACTGGGGAGTTGGGAGTTTGTCACATCTCAGTGATACTGATAGACTTGCCCTTGACTGAGCCCTTGCTGGGCAGTGCTAAGCAGCTGACACTTGCCTCATTTTTATTAGGGTCTGGAACGGGACTGGAATCCAGGCCTCTTTAGAGGGAGGCTTTTCTGCTGTCCTCCCCTGGGCCTCTGGCTGCCAAGTGGCCTTTGGTAAGCCCAGTGATGTCCTCTCTTCTCCACTGAGCAGTGGCCATCCTGGGAAGAGTCCAGGCCTGGCTCTCTAGGTCTGGCTTGCCATTGCACCCCTGTAACCTTCACATACAGTGTTACTCCTCCTCTCTCTCTATTCTCCCTCTCCTTCTGGAGACAGGGAGAAAAGGAGGTAAGATCAAGAAAGCAATTTGAGAAGCTTTGTGCAAGTGCTAGGTGTGCTGAGGCTCCCCTGGCTGGATTCTAACTTGTTCTCAAATTGGAAAGGGTCTTCTCCAGCACTTTAAGATCAGATCATTATCACTAGCTGAGATAAGACCACTGAGCAAGAAGGGAGGGAGCTGGAAACCTCTCTCATCAGGTCATGTACATTGCCAGATGGAGAAAAAGCCTCCTTTGTACAGCAAGGGAAGGGTGATTTCGGTCAAGCTTTCAGTGGTTAGTGAACTCTAACCACAACCACAGTGGCTTGGAAAGCAATGTCTCACTGATGGCAGGCAGCCAGGAGCCTCAAAGAGCTAAGGGAGTGAGGGATGGAAGAGAGACACCTTGTTTGATGTACTTGCTCTTTTTGGTTGAGCTTAAGCTCAGGGTCATCAATCAAAAGGGACAGGTCATTGGGACCCCATGGGACAGCTGTGTGGGTCCCGAGTGGGAGCTCTTCAAATGATTTGTCTAAAGTAAGTTTTGCTGAACAAAGAGGTTGTTGCCTTGGTCTTGGGTGGGTGGAGCAGATTTGATTTCTCACCCTGCTGCCCTTTGCCTCTAGGACCATCGCTGCTGTATGCCTTACACCCCTATCTGCATCGCCAAAGCTGTGAAGAATTCAGCCGAGTCAGAAGGCATGAGGCGGGCTCACGTGAGTATAGGAGCTGGTGCAGAAGATGGGATGTGAGGTGGTCAGAAGTCCCAGTTCCTTCACCTCCTCTGTGGCATTGAGCCTGGCACAAGGTCAGAATCTCTCTGAGCCTTAGCCTTCTGGCCTTCCAGAGTTAATGAGAGAATGAAATAAAATACTTGTTGGATTAGATCTTTACAAAGTATAATAACAAAAAAGGAGATATTGACCATAACGGTGTAGATGATGGTGATGGCGTGATGCTGTTGAAGCCTTTTAAAAGAGCCAGATTTTGTTTCAAAGCAAAGGATGGATCTAGAAAGATTTTGGGCTCAGAGGTGGCTTTTGATAGTGGCCTGTTTTTCCTGGCCCCTGTAGGGTTCTTAACCTTTAAGTTAACCTTTGGGAGGAGCTCCCTGTGCTCTGAGGTGGGGCCCTTCCTCACTGTGCCTGAACTACTGAATAGCACACACTGGCCTCCCAGAAATGTCCACATGTGAAGCTCTGGTTGCTGTTGGTGTGTGACCCTGCAGGTGCAGCCTTCTCATATTGCATTAGGGCTGGGCTCTGAATCTGGTCATGTGATTTTCAGTAATAACTTAAAAAAATGCCTCCGTTGTTTGCACAGATCAAAGATGCTGTTGCCCTCTGTGAACTCTTTAACTGGCTGGAGAAAGAGGTTGGTTCTTAGTCTTTGTTTAATATGTGGATATACATTATTCACACCTACCTATATGTGGTTCTAACTCTGGCATCCTCTATGCTCTGCTGACCGTGAGGTCTGAGATCTCAATCAAAGTTTTGGGCTCTATTTTAATAATTCTCTCTGGAAATTTGGTGTGCATAGATTTCAAAATTCTTTAATTATGAAAATAGTCACAAGGATGAAGAGAGAAGTTCCTTAACAGAGTGGATGCTTTTTGAGTTAGGGAATCATAACTAAGTGGAATTTCATTATAAGGAAAAATGACCCTTATGATATTATTGGAGGCAAGCTGATTGTATTAGGAGAAAAGATCTTTGTATTCATTTTGAACTTCAGTTTAAGCCATAAACCTTTTTATATTAAATTAACTCTTGGCCATTAATTTCTTGCTCTAGTTGATGAGGGTGGTTTCACAGTGCTGTTATTAAACAATATCATGTTCCCTTTAAGTATTGTATAAACCACTCTTTAATTGGAAAAAGGAAATATTGTCTTTATTCCCACCAGTGTAACTTTTTTTCTCATGTTTCCTTCTGGCTATTGTTCATCTGTACAAATCATTTTAAAAAATATAAATCATTTTTACATGTCTCTTAGTGTGCAGATCAAATTTTTTTCCTTTTTTTTCTTATTTTGAGATGGGGTCTCATCTGTCACACAGGCTGGAGAGTAGTGGTGTGGTCACAGCTTACTGCAGCCTCAGCCTCCCCAATCCTCCCACCTCAGCATCCCGAATAGTTGGGACTGCAGGAGTGCACCATCATGCCCAGCTATTTTTTTCTGTATTTTTTGTAGAGATAGGGTTTTGCCATGTTGCCCAGGCTGGTCTTTAATTCCTGGGCTCAAGCTATTCGCCTATCTTGGCCTCCCAAAGTGCTAGGATTTTAGGCATGAGCCATCACACCTGGCTCAGATACGATTTTGTGTTTTGTTTATTTTATTCTCTTGGAATCATAGCGTGAACATGTTCCATGTGCGTTGAGGCCTTAAAAAGGATCCAAATGGAAACTGCATCTAGTAGCTATTCTGATTTACTAACCCAGTCCTCCTATTTTTAAATGTTTGGGTTGTTTTTAATTTTTTGCTGTTATCAGTAATCCTGCAATAATGGCTTTGCATTTATCTTGTTATTTTTCTAGAATGATTTTCTTAGGGTGATTTCTTAGGAGGGAATGCTTTTGAATTTTAAACTTAGATATATTGTTTTAGGATAAAATACTGAGGCACAATAGTAGAGTGAAAAATTAAATGAATAGAAGCCGTTAGATTTTGGATAGCTTTGGTGAGAGCCTTTGGGAGTTCTCCCTTGCTGAAGATCTGTCCTGTAGATTGGGCAGCTGGGATGAAGAAATTGAGGAAAAAGTAAGCTTTTAATGTATCCCCTCTAATTTGTAAGAGGCACACATGAATTTATCTCACGAGATGATTTATAAGCAATTTTCTCATAGGTTCCCAAAGGTGATGTGACAGAGATCTCAGCTGCTGACAAAGCCGAGGAGTTTCGCAGGTAAGGATTCATCTGGGGGGGACCCAGGAACCTTGTGTTGATTTCCTTGCAAGTTGAATGAGGCTGGAAGAGCCCTGATTCTTAGCACAGTAAAAACCTTTAAGCCACTCTGCTTTCTGTCTTTCTGTTGTAGGCAACAGGCTGACTTTGTGGACCTGAGCTTTCCAACCATTTCCAGTACGGGACCCAACGGCGCCATCATTCACTACGCGTAAGGCATGCAGAGGAGCATGCTGCCTGGCATTGCTGCTTCTGCACAGGAGCCTGAGCAGGGGAGAGACATTATTTTACCAGAGGCCTCTGTGCCCACTTTCATCTGCCTGTTACAGAGACTGTGAAATGAAGGGAAATAAGACCTCTAAGGTTTTATTTTCTCCTAATCCCCAAGCCTCTGCCTTTTGGGATCCTCCTCTTAAGCTCAGTATGGCACTGGCATCCTCTGTAGTGTAGTTAGATGGGTGTCCCTCTTTCCTTCTTGAAGCTGCAGGAACTGTTTACATAGCCCTTGCATCTTGAGGACTGAATATTTTTTTGGAGGCAAGGTCTTGCTCTGCTGTCCTGGCTGGAGTGCAGTGATGCCGTCGTGACTCTGCAGCCTCTAACTCCTAGGCTCAAGCAGTCCTCCTGCCTCAGCCTCTTGAGTAGCTCGTACTACAGGCATGTGCTACCATGCCTGGCTAATTTTAAAATTTTTTTGTAGAGATGGGGATCTTGCTGTGTTGCCCAGGCTTGTCTCGAATTCTGGACTCAAGCAATTCTCCTGCCTCAGCCTCCTAAAGTACTGGGATTACAGTTGTGAGCCACCATGCCAGGCCTATGACTGTAATTTTTGTGTGGTTTTCTTTCCTGGTAACAGCAGCTGTTTTGTACTACATCTTGTGAGCTCCATCAGCTCCATACCAAAAAAATGTAGCGCTGAGTTGTGGGGCAACCTGTTTTGGGTGGAGAGAGAATTGGTACCCTCTCTTCCTGTCCCCTTAAGCCTGAAGCCTGCACTATGTAGTATTTAGACCATGTGGGTTCATAAGAACCCATGGGCCCACAGGGATGAGCCTCTCTGCCCTGTGAGACAGAGGGACACTGATATGTTTAGGACTGACAGATTTTCCTGTGGAGATCGTGGGAATTATTATTAGGTGTGGCCATTGAGCTTTAGCTTCAGCTCTGCCTGGTTCAGACTGCTTTGCTTTGTGTTGGGTATTTTGAGTTCTGTGCTTCCCCTTCTGTTACATGCACAGCCAGTGAAAGAACACTGTCTCTCTGTGCTGTACTTGGGCACACATTTTCTCCCCGTTTTAATAATTGCTTTTAGAGTTTTTAGTCTTGGGCAGATTTTGAAGCTGTGTGTGGGAGATAGTTACAGATGTGACAGTACAGTTCTCTCACTTAATGCTTCTGTTCCAGCATAAAAATATCAGAGGGACTTCAGTTTTTGTTTAACTCAGGATGAATTTCCTGGCTGGATAGTATCCTAAAATTTTGTGTATAATTAAAACATTAAACAATTTCATGCCAGTGGGGAAGAAATTTGCTCCTGCTTTGGCATTTCTTCATTGTGGGTAGTTGGAAGCCTGTTTAGAGGCAGGTTCTAAAGGCACTAGTTGTCTTCTGTAGTTGTTCGGCTCGTCTGTGGACTGGTGCCCTTACTACCGAAGAGGGGGTGGTACCTGGAAATGACGGACAGCCTCGCTTCAGCTGCAGGGCAGAGGCTTGGAACTCTCATCCCTGGGCGTTTCCCAGTGCAGTGATACTGTTTAGAAAACGGCATAGGGAAAGCAATCACTTTTTGAAAATACCTCATGTTTGTTTGAAAAAAGTGCTCCGGCAGAAGAATATCATGATCCATTCCTTTTCCCAGCAAAATTTCTTTAGTTTTTCTCCCAAATTGAGACATTCACCCCTGCCTGTGTAGTGGTCTGGAGAGTGAGTGGGGAGGTACCTGCTGGGATGGGGCTGAAGGAGACCGTTCCCAGGACTTTCGCTAGATCCTGTTGCTTCTAATGCTTCTCATTTTTTTTTAGCTTTGATAATTATCTCTTGAACACCTGTTTTGTTCTAGACACAATCGGAGGCAGACATAAAGAAATGTGTTATTTTTCCTCTCTTGAGCTCTTTATCTCAGTTGGGAAATAGGTTGACTGGATCTTTGAAAAGTAAAAGTTTAATATTAGTTGAAATAATTCATTTATTGGGTAACTTTCAGGCTTATGTAAGTTGTAAGAATAGTACACAGAGCTCTTGTGTGTCCTCCCAGATTCACTAAATGTTTGCATTTGTGGAATAATTAAGTTTTAATTAACTTTGTTAGGCCAGTCCCTGAGACGAATAGGACCTTGTCCCTGGATGAGGTGTACCTCATTGACTCTGGTGCTCAATACAAGTAAGTAAACTAGGACTGCTATGGAACTTGACTGTGATTCAAGGTGGTTGACAGGGTGGAGAGCTGAGCTCTAGCTGAGAGCACTCAGCTGGTCATCTCACTCTGTGCTGGCCACTAATGGAATCATTCCTGTGTCTTGTCCTTTTCTTCACCCCTATTTGAAATAGCCCAGTTATGACTCCGTTCTCACAAAAGACTGTTTGATAGGAATGTTACAGTCCTTGGCTGGAAGCTTTAAAAATACTAAGTAAATAACTGTGAAATAAAGCAAGCTTTTAGAACCATTGAAAGTTTTCCACCCCAGCCCCTGAATTGCCTGCCGGTTTTCTGTACTGGCAGCTGCCTCAGGGCCTTATGAAGTAAGGGATTAATTTTGAATGAATGAATGAGAAACGAGGCCGCCCCCAGATTTCTGAATTTCCTTCTCCATGTTTCACTGCTTTTACAGCTGTCTTCTCTGGAAGAGTTTCTCAGAGAAGAATCCAAGATTTGGATGGGTCTTGATATGGAACCCATGAGAAGGAGTGAGAATAGATACTGTCTGCATTAAGAGAGCTTTGGCAAGGCCTTTTAATGCTGCCCCATTCCCCACTGAAGTTGGAACTATGGCTAAGGGAGGACCTAATTATTGAATTAGCTCAGCCAATTATGTGGTAACCCTGCCTAGCTTTGGGACAGAGGTGTTAACAATATCAGCCTAAAGCTAAGGATTGCTGGGTAATGGTGTAAACTCTTGTTCACTTCTAAATTTCAGCAGGATTCTAGAAGTGATCCTTTCTGTGTCAGGGATCTAGTCTAGTGTGTGTTAAGATATGTACTTGGATATTTTTAGTATCTCTGTCCAGGAAACCCCCTGCTGTTCTAACAGGAGGAGTTGGGTTTTGGCCCTCTTTCGCTAGAGATGTGCTCCTGTTTTCTTTGCCCTCTTCTGTCTTGTTCGTAACCCTGGTGATAGTGTCTCTTGTGAAATAGTCCTTACGCTACAGACCAAGAATGTATGTGTCAGGGGCTGATGTCACTCCCACTTTATCTAGCCATCCCTGCATTCACACTTTCATTTTTTAGAATAACTTCATTGGGGTAAAATTTATATACCATATAATTCACCCACTTAAAATATACAATTAATGTTTGTTTTTTGGTATATTCAGAGTTGTGCAGCCATCAGTACAATCAATTTTAGAACATTTTCATTACCCGAAAAAGAAACCTCATATCCAATAGCAGTCACTCCCTGCTTTTCCACTACCCTGGAGAACCACTACTCTCCGTTCTGTCTCTATGGATTTGCCTATTCTGGACACTTCCTGGACATGGAATTGTATTATGTATGGCTTTCTGTATCTGGCTTCTGTCATTTAGCACAGTGTCTTCCATGTTCATTCATGTTGCAGCATATATCCATTCCTTTTTATGACTGAATAGTATTACACTGTGTGGATAATCCCCCATTTTGTTTGTCCATTCATCAGTTGATGGACATTTCAGCTGTTTCCACCTTTTAGCTATTATGAATAATGTGGCTATGAACCTCCATGTCCAAGTTTTTGTGTGGATGTGTGTTTTCCATTCTCGAGTATATAACTAGGAGTGGAATTACTGGGTCATATGGTGACTATATTTAACCTTTTAAGGAACTGCAACTATTTACAAAGATGGCTGTGCTATTTTCATGTCCACCATCGTTGTATAGGGGTTCTCATTCATCCACATGCTTGCCTGTGTCATATTTGACTTAAAGCTTATTTTGACTGGAAACCAATTTGTCCTTTCTTTTGGAAAGGGATGGCACCACAGATGTGACGCGGACAATGCATTTTGGGACCCCTACAGCCTACGAGAAGGTAAGGTGGAGGCAAAAAACTTAAGAGGTCCTTTCTGTTTTCTTAAGAGCATTGCTTTTACGAAAATGAATTGTATAAAGAAGTAAAAATTATATGTGGGGTAGTAAAATTGTTCATTGCTGTGGAGTCAGGCTTCTCTGCTTTACGAGGTTCATTTGATTATTGGAGTAAGGCATTTGGAGAAATTTTTAAAGCATTCTGCTAAGGTTAGGGCAGCTCAGGTGTAAGTTTATATATGATAGCTTTGGGCTTCTCTTGAGTCAAGAAATGTCTTTGAGGCTGGGGGTGAGATAGTGAAATATATGCCTTATAAGCAGTGTCTAGGTTTGATTTTGAAGGCCACTCCCTTCTTTTCAAGATTCTTATTTATGGGCTTAAGTCCCTAGGAACTTTCTGAACTTTCTGAAATTTCTGGTATGATTGGCATGGAAAGGGGAAACAGCTGCGAGGCAGAGAGATGTGTACCAGGGTCTGGAGACCTGGCTTCAGAGCTTTTCTGCCATTTACTAGCTCTGCGACCTTGAACAAAATCACCATCCATAAAAATGAGGATAAAAGTACCCACCTTCTGGGCTGCTTGTGAATTCCCATGAGCCCAGCAAGTTCCTAGATCATAGTCACTGCTCAGCAAATACTGATGGAGTCCCTAAGTGAATCTGTCCAAGGGAGTTCCTTCAGGAAGATTATCCAAGGAAAAGTATTTTATGCAATGTAGTGGGGCAGATTTCATTGTCTTGGTCCCCCGTCTTGTTGGTTTGTAAGCACCAGTGCTTTAGATAAATTTGTATCTGTATCCAGGATTCTTTTGGCGTGACTTTTTTTGTGCTGTGCAAAAGCCTCAACCAGGATGAGCAACATGGAGTTTTAGTCTTGACTCTGCACTTACTGGCAAGCCACTAAGCTTCTGAGTAGCACTTTTCTTGTCCAGACAGCAGGGTTAACCCCTGAAGATAGTATGGTGGTAGGGAGTGAAGCAAGACTGCCTGGCCCCAAGGCCAGATGCTACCACTTAGGCACTGTGTGATCTGGGCATGCTACTGAATGCCCAGTATGCTCTGCGAAGCGAGGATAATGGTGGTGCCTCCGTCGTGAAGTGTGGGATCAAACATACAGTGCTTAGAATAGTGCGTGGCACAGAGAGCTCAGTAAATGTGAGCTACGGTCATCAGTGCTTTTTATTACTTTTCCTTTCTTTCTAAGGCTCACGTGACGGAGTATGTCAGAGTGTTCATTATAAAGTCCTGTGGGGTCATCTCTCTGACGGTGCTCTTTTAATAAATTGAATTTCAAGATTTTCTGGCAAATTAGTTCCACGGCCAGGCTTTTTTTCCACAAGATATTTTTCTTTTTACTTGCATTTTCTCTGTGATAGTGCTAAAAACTTTAGCAGGCAGAATTTTCTGAATTACCAGAAAACTACAGGAATAGACATCTGTCCCCATTCTGCAACATGCCTCTGGGTTTTCTTTGGCAGGAATGCTTTACGTATGTCCTCAAGGGCCACATAGCTGTGAGTGCAGCCATTTTCCCGACTGGAACCAAAGGTAAGTGGTGCATTCTGTTACATGGGAGGCCCTTTTTCTTGTTTGAGAATCAGATATGTCTACGAGTGAAAGAACATGTCTTTCCTTCACTGTGAGGTCCCCAACTCCCCTCAGGCCCAGCCAGGTGCTGCATGGGTGAGTCTCCAGAACCACTGACTGAGCACAGAGGCCTCAGGGAGATGGGGTTAGGATTGGGCCCAGTGCCTTCTGTGCACCTTTCTTCTGACCACTTATGGTATTGGATGACACATGTGGGTGGCTCCCAGGAGAGGACAAACCAGACTTGAAGGTCTCAGGGCCAGAGTGGGAGTTGGTGCAGCCTCCTGTCTGCTCTTTAGTGCTGGGCCAGTGCTTCCTTTCAGGATTCTTATGATTTATTTTACTGAGACCCTGACTTTAGATATGTACTACTTGGCTTGAGGCCTGGTAAAGCACTGGACTGGGCATTGGCAAAACTTGACCTCCTTGATTCTGGGTAGATTGGACGTGTACTCATCTCCCTGGGCCTCAGTTACCTCATCTGTCATGCCTGCCTGCTTGCTTGCAGTCTGGTTAGAGTCTCATCTTTGTAATTCTGAAACCTTAGGGTCGCAGAGCTGGGAAGGGAACGTCCATGTCATCTATGTGCTGTAGGTGTCTACCCCCTCCACCCCACCAGCATCCTGGATGGATGATAACCTAGCTTTAGACTGAGCTCTGATGGTTCCTCAGGAGTTCTTATTGTTAGAAAGTCCTTCCTTGTATTGTGCTGAAATCGGAACCCTCCAGTAACTTACCTGTTGTTTTCTGTTTCACATTCTGGAGCCAAACGTAATATATCTAATCTCTATAAAGTGCTGTACAAATATTAAGTGGCTTGTTATGTCTTTCAGGTCACCTTCTTGACTCCTTCGCCCGTTCAGCTTTATGGGATTCAGGCCTAGATTACTTGCATGGGACCGGACATGGTGTTGGGTCTTTTTTGAACGTCCACGAGGGTCCTTGTGGCATCAGTTACAAAACATTCTCTGACGAGCCCTTGGAGGCAGGCATGATTGTCACTGATGGTAAGTAACCCTCACATAGAGGGCATGCATGGATCCTTGAGCCTTTTTGAAAGCTATTTATTGTTTTTAATTTTTTAATTAGTTTAAAGTAAATTGGCATTAATTTTCCCCTCCTAACAACAACAATCTTTTCTGATTATAGAACATGTTCATTTTAGAAAAAATGAGATGGGAACCATGTAAAAAGAAAATGAAAATCATTTGCAATCTAACCACTCGGGGGAACATGACTTAATGTTTTGCTGTATTAGCTTTTGGTCTTTCAGATGTGTAGATATCATTTTTTAAAAAAAATCATTGAGGTCATACTGGGCATCTTGTCTATGTTTTGCTTTCTTACTTGATATATTGCCTTTTCCCAGGTCATTGCCAAGTCTTTGTAAATATATTTTAATGCCTTCTTTATTGTGTCTTATGGATGTGAGCCATGATTTATTTAGTGGGTCCACTGTTACTATACTCCTTACCCTGTAGCCAGTCTGCAGGGACTTCTGTCTGAGTCTAGCTTTCTGTACCTTAAGTGCCTATAAAAAAGTGGCCATATGAGAGAAGGTGGCATCTCTGGACTCTTACACCAGATAGAGGGGCCCTTCACCTGTTTCTTCTCCTTTGGAGTTAGGGCAGTCCTCCCATGAATAAAAGCTTCCTCTGTAGACATCTTCATTGTGGGCTGCTTCTCATTTTTGGGATTTGGTTTGTTTTAGAGCCCGGGTATTATGAAGATGGATCTTTTGGAATTCGCATTGAGAATGTTGTCCTTGTGGTTCCTGTGAAAACCAAGGTGAGTATTTATTAAAAAATTTCCTGTTTCTTAATGTGGGAAGATGAAGACTTAATGTCTTTGGAGCCAAGAGTATGCCATTCTGGGGTCAAAATGGAGCCTTCTGCAGATATCAGGGACTTTCCTGGAAACCACACTCCTTCCCTGCAAAGCCAGAAAGAAAATCCTTAATGAACTGGGATCTAGAACTGGAATTCATGGACCCTCAGGCTAATACCTGCTTCACATGATTTGGGGCTCTGAGTTCACTATAGGTGGCCTGTTGTCGTGAAGTCTCTCCTCTGCTGGGGGTGCCTATTCAAGGTGCCAATTTCCAGGCCCCTCCCAGACCCTAGAATCTTCAGGGCGAGGGGCCTGGAAGCTGTAATTTTATCATACTCCCCAGGTGAGTTTTATTAGGTAAAGTGGAGGAACCCTGAGTTATACCATGGGTCAGCCTCAAAGGCAATACAAGACAGGTGTTTCACCCTCCACCCCATCAGTGTTACCAAGGTTGCAGGGTTTCAGGCTCTAGGCTTTACCTAAAAGAGCTGTTTGTGCCTCCTCCATTGGTGGAAATGAACAGTTGAAGGGAAGTAGCTTCTTATGTCTGCAAGGAGATTGACCGCAGGGATCTTCTCTCTGCTTCGGCATGGAAGTCACTGTTAAGTGACCTCCCATCTCATTCCCAAAAGCTGCCATGAACAGAAGCCTGACATGTTCATGTGTGCTCCAGTGGATTGATGTGTTATCGCCTGAAGGGCCTGGCTGGGTCAAGGCAGGCCACACAGTTGACTGTTAAAAAAATGATTTTGAGGACTTATACCCCTGCAACCTGGAGAAACAAAACCAGAGATTCCCCTGAGCCCAGACACCCCCATGCCCTGCCCCTGCTTCCTATCACAGTAGACATTAGCCTTGTGGACCTGCTGCTGGGAACCCCTCAGCACCTTTTGTTTGGCGTTTCCTGATGGCACAGGCTGTTGTTTGCCCAGTGGAGGAGCTCTTGGAAAGTGGCATCATGCTCCCAGTGTGTCTGTGAAAAGTGGTGACCAGCCAACCACTTCTTGGCTCCTAGTTACCCCTGGCCCTGAAGGGTGGCATGCTAGTGGAATGACCTCACGGTGCTTCAGCATGGTAAAGAGGAGTAAAAGCATCTGTTTTCTTCTTTCTCCCACAGTATAATTTTAATAACCGGGGAAGCCTGACCTTTGAACCTCTCACTTTGGTTCCAATTCAGACCAAAATGATAGATGTCGATTCTCTTACAGACAAAGAGGTAATGGGGAAGTCTTGCGGGGCAGGCATGTTACTAGGGGAGGTGAGGACTAACCTAAATAGTTCTAATCCATTCTCTAATCCTGAATTCAAATCCTGAATTCTCTAATCCATTCTCACTTTGTCATTTTTAAACTTAGAAGTCTAGATCAGTTGAGTCTGAAAGCCCTAGATTTTCTGAGGACTCTTGAGCTTTTCCTGTGTTTGTTGGGCCTCCAGGTGGGGAATGTCCTGCTCCTTGCAGCCATGCTGGAGCTGTAGGGTTTTGTGGGTGGAACTCGTATGCCATTGTTTGGCTGTGCTATTCCTCTGTAGTGCACTGAGGCGTGTTTAGCAAATATGAGCCTATGTGTGTTCCCTACAGAAAGCCAGATGGATGGTGGGGCCTCTTGGCCACTGCATATACCAGATTGTTTTCTGGCATTAGATGAAACATTAAGGAAATGAAAAGCAAAATCTATTATCGTATGTCCTGTTTTTACACAGACGAGGAGAAAGATAGTACCAGCCCTTCTCGGTTATGTCTGTAGTCACTCTGGGGCTGTGAAACCCTTTACAAAGCTTGGGGCACAACAGTGCTTACTTGCCCAGCTCAGAGGGTTATGGGCCTTAACTCCTTCAGATCCTGGACTGGTAAGGCCAGGTGAGATGGCGGTCCTGGGGACATTAAGTAAGGCCTGAAGAATTGCACAGATGATTAAGGTCAGAGCAGAAACAAGGGTCAGAAATGGGGTAGGAACTATTAGCACTAGACTGACAAACAGTTCCCAAACCAGGAAGCTGGAAGCCAGGAGGTCACAAATTCCAGAGCAAGGCAGGGGTCAGAAGTTCCAACAAAAAGCAAATGACTGGTGGGAGCCGAAGGCAGGTTAAGCACGGAGGGTTATTCTAGGAATAAGATTTTGTTATCTGAGGCACCCACTGGCCTTTGAGTGCCTCTCAAGGCAGGAACGTTTCCTCACTGGCACCCACTTGGGCCTCGTTCTTGGCACTATAAAGGAAAGGGTCTCTAGGGGTCAAGGACCTTCCCCTCTACGGGAGCTGTGTAACAGGATTCTCCTAGCTAGGAGCCTCTCCTGCCTGTTCCAGCTCACAGCCGGGTGACGAAAAAGGCTATCCACTTCCTGCTTAGCTTTCCCCTGTGCTAGAGTGCTTCTGCTTTAACCATCAGTGCCCTTGGTTCAGCTAAACATTCCCACTCTCAGGACCCAAATGGGTCCTGCTGATACTGGGTGGGTTATGCAGCTTGCGGATGGATACGGAAAAGGAAACAGCCGATCAGCACAGTGTCAGGCATGTCTCTTCAGCAGGAAGAGTCCTTCCAGCATCCAGGGGCTCTTCTCCAGCCCCTGTAAGTGTTGCCTTAGGTGAGAGGAAATGAGAGCACCCCGTTTAGAATCCGTCTGCCCCATAGGAACCAGTGTCTCTTGTAATGGCCCCTCCAGGGACTCAGCAAGGGGCTTTCCAGTAATAAGTCATTTTGCACTCTTGGAAGTCCAAGGCTATGGCTTCCTGCCAACTAATTTTAGGTCATGCAGTCCTTCCAGTCCACGTAAAGTCTACGCATCAGGAGGCATTTCTCCCATATGACATTCCACTTTATCCAGAGAAGTAGTGTATAAGGAAGGTTAAGTGAGGCCATTTTTTCTTGAAGGGGAGAGAATTTTGTTAACTTGTGATTCAGCCTACCCCCATGACATTGGACATAGACCAGGGATCTGTGTTACCCAGTGGTTCATTGCACCTTCCATGCCCAAATCATCGAACCATTCTTTTGACCAAGTTACTCATTGTAGGGCGGATAACATCTTACCCTAAGGATCATAAGCAAGTTTCCACAGATAACAGTAGATGGCAGTATTTAGCATTCCAAGCACAGAACAGTATCATTTCTTCTCTAGTTAAGTTATTTAAAAGTATTATTACCTTTTTAGAAAAAGGTCCCTTTCCTGTATATCCCATTTAAGTCTGGGACTTCATTATGTCTGAAGACACAGTAATATCCCACAACAAGATTCTGTCCACTGGGCTTTTAAAATGTCTGGTCATTTGCCCTTTACTATTTAGCCTGTCTTTTGGAGTCACTTTAGGGTGTTTTTGGTTTTGGTCTGCATCCTCGTCACTTATCACCAGATGGCAGCAAAGGACCTTGTTTGGATATGAATATGGCCAGCTGCAGACTCTCAGGGCCTCCTGATGCTGCTCAGGCCCCGCCAAGGCAGTCCAGGCTCCCACTTTTCTCTCCCTGCTCCCAACCAGAAGGGCCTTGGGATTTTGGCTGTGGCCCCAGGCTTACGTCAGGATGTTGCTGTTGCATTACTGTTGAGCTGCTTTGGACTGTAGGCTGTTTTGTAGCCCTGCTGGGCTTGCTGTGGACACATAGCAGTTTGCCTGTTTTTGACATCCTCCTCTGCCCCCATCACTCCCCTAACACACAGAAGGGGCTAGTAGGCTCTTCTCAGTAGGGATTGGAACCTTGGCTGGGTCACAGCCAGTTGGTAACAGCACCCTAACTGTCTGCCCTCAGTCCCTTGTAATTAATGGGCTTGTGTGCCCACCCTGACCCCCAGCTGGGCTTTGGTACCTGGCTGGATTGTAGTCTCTGAAATCAGTACTTTTGTAACATCACTGCCCTCCCAAATGGCCTTTGGTTCCTTTATGACAGCCACAGCCATGGCACTATCAATCTCATCAGCTTCCAGACAGCTCTGCCGTAGACAGTGATGAGAGTGGCTTGTCTTCTTGGTAAAACCTGCTTCACTGAAGACTTCATCTTTTTCCCTGTACTACCAAGGGGGAGAGTTCACCCTTTTTCCTGCCTCAGAGCTTTTGCCATCATGTCTAGTGGGTCAGCCCCTGCACCCAGTCCTGCCAGCAGGTCCTTCCTTTCACTCTCTCTCTTTTTTTTTGTCTCCTGCTGTCGTGGCATGTTGAGCTGAGAGTCTGAAAACTAAGCTGACTCCCAGCCCCGCTCTCCCGCACCACAGTCTTTAACCACCACAGGTTTTGGGTTCATCTAGGCAGCTACACTCAGAAAACACTCACGGGCTTAGCTGATCCTAGTTTTTTATTCAGCTTTTTCGGTGGATATAAGATATGTAGCTCAGTGTGTTGGCAGGACAGCTTCGGGTATCTCTTTTAGTAGGAGTTCTCACAGAGTCCAGGGGCTATCCCCACTTACCACCTCCCCAGGATGGCTCAGGTATAAGAGAGTGAAGCCATACAGGTGAAAGCAGGAGCTACTGGCTTAGATACTGCTGTCTATAACAGTAAACTGTTCTGGGAGGCTTTTACCAGAAGCCATGAAGTCTGGTCCTGTGTATTTCCAGGGAAACAGAACACAAGGAAAACACTTGTCTGTGAGGAAGGAGAAAGGGTGTTGTGCACCTTTACTCTCAGCTTGTGATCTTAGCGCACGGGGGCCCTTGCTGTTGACCTTTGTAGCTAGTTGTTAAAGATGTGGTGGTGAATACTGTATCTGTCATTCTCTCCCCTGCAGTGTGACTGGCTCAACAATTACCACCTGACCTGCAGGGACGTGATTGGGAAGGAACTGCAGAAACAGGGCCGACAGGAAGCTCTTGAGTGGCTCATCAGAGAGACACAACCCATCTCCAAACAGCATTAATACCTCTCTGGTTTTGTTTTTGCAAAATGCTCTGGGGAAAGGAAGAAACATGGTGGATCCCTGACATCTTTCCCCTTTCCTCTCCTCCTTCCCTACCTCCCCTTTTTACTTTAGACTTTAAGAAGAACAGAGAATCTTCTTATCCTCTTTGATATCTTCTTGCAAACACTCAGTCTTTTATGATTTTTTAATTGTTGAGAACGAGCCAAGAATAAAATTGCTGCACCAGAAGGAAGGTCCCTCCAAAGTTGAACAGCTGATGAAAGGGAGATGCCCTGCCTTCTCTGGCCAGTGATGGGGAAACTGTGAGTGCTCCATGACGGTCACGATTCAGGTGCTAGTACATCATTCATGATCACCTTAATGCTCATGAGACTATATTTATGATCGGTGAATAAAAATGTCAAAACTGTGGTTTGTCTTAGCTGTCTCTTTCTTCATGGTGCTGTCCCCAGTCATGTAAGGTGAACTGATCTCCAGGGCTGCTGGCTCTGTGGCAGGCATTCCTAGGTGGAACGCCCTCCTTGAGAAGAGACCCCTGGCCTCCCTGCACATTTGGGGGCTTCGTTGTAAGCTTTTTCTTTTCTCTAGAAAACAGTATTTTGATATTTTTATCTCAGTTTTTTTCTGATTTTAAAATGTGTCACTGCTATGCAAAAAACAATACAAATTACGTCAAAAGTCAGTTTTCCATAACTCACCCTATAGTAGATGCTTCAAGTGTCTTACCTCCATAGCCACAGCTCTCATTGTTCTGTTACTTGTAGATAGCATTCTGTGACAAGTGCCTGCGACTCCCATTCTGCAGGATTTCTTTTGACTGTATATGTGGGGCAGGCAGGCTCCAAGGATTGGAGAGTTAATGTCCCTGAGATCTCAAATCATCATGTTGGGCATGGGCAGATAGACTTCCTCATCCCTTGGCTAGGATATTTGAGGTGTGTCCTATATTGTCACTCAGGGTTTCCCAGTGGAATTGAGCCCCACTTGCCCACCATGGTAACTTGTTCAATAATCAACGCTTTATTTTCTTTCTTCTTTTCCGTGTCGTACTTTCTTCCTGTCCCGTCAGTGTTTCCTGGTTCCATCCTGAATGAACCGTTGACATATGAGTCCTTGTTTTAGGGTCTGCTTTTTTAGGAATCCAACCTGCCATACTCCATAGGTATAACCACTATTATCTGCTTTATATTTTTGCTGACTCCTTTTTTTTTGTATTCAAAATTCACTAAAATACTGATTATTTGTGTATGTATAAAAAGAACATACCACATTTACAAACAGTGGATAATTCTATACGTATACAGTTTTATCATTTAACTTGGCAATATATCTGAGTTATTTTTTTTCCATATTGGTATGTATAGACCTAATTATTTTTAAGGACTTAATTCCATTGTATGGTTATATTGTTTTAAAACTAGTCTCATTAACTTTTTAAAAACAATACTAGTGTTTAGACATTTTTTTTAAAAAGTGTTAGTCTTAAATCATGTAGAAAACATAACCGGAATCCCAAGCTATTGGTAGAATAATGCCAGTGTTTGTAATTGCCCAATGGATTTATTTTTCTTGAGATCTTTATTTCTTCATATCACTTGGGGTTACTGTCTAGCACGCTGTCATTTTACTTTGCAGAACTAAGCATTTCTTGCAGGGTGGGTCTAGTGGTCATGAACTCCCTTAGCTTATCTTTATCTGGGAACTTCTTAATTTCTTCTTCACTTTTGAAGGACAGTTTTGTTGGATATAGGATTCTTTGGTTGCCAGTTTTTTCTTCTTTTTTCTTTTAACATTTTGAAGTCCTCCACTGCCTTCTGGCCTCCAGCATTTCTGATGAGAAATCTGCAGGTAATCTTACTGGAGATCCCTTTTATGTGGTAAATAACTTCTCTCTCACTGCTTTCAAGATTCTGTTTTTTGACTTTTGGAAGTTCAACTGTAACGTATTTTGGTGTGTTATCTCTTGGAGTTAATCTTGGGGTTTATTGGGTTTCTTGGATGTTTACATTAATATCTTTTATCAGCTTTGGGAATTATACAGCCAGTATTTATTTATTTATTTATTATTATTTTTTTTTGAGACGGTCTCTCTCTGTCACTCAGGCTAGAGTGCAGTGGCATGATCTCAGCTCACTGCAACTTCTGCCTCACGGATTCAAGTGATTCTCCTGCCTCAGCCTCCCGAGTAGCTGGGATGACAGGTGCACGCCACCACACCAGGCTAATTTTTGTATTTTTAGTAGAGGTGGGGTTTCCCCATGTTGGTCAGGCTGCTCTCGAACTCTTGACCTCACGATTCGCCTGCCTTGGCCTCCCAAATTGCTGGGATTACAGGCATGAGCCACCGCACCTGGCCTACAGCCAGTATTTCTTCAGACATTCTCTCTGTTGCTTCCTCTCTTCTCCTGGGACTCTAACAATGTGTATTTTGGTCGGCTTGATGGTATCCCACAGGTCTTCTAGGCTCTGTTCCCTTTAATCTTTTTTCTGTTTTTCAGACTCAAAAATTTCTGTTATCTTCAAGTTCACTGATTTTTGCGTGCTCATATCTGCTTTGAATCCCTTTGGTGAGTTTTTAATTTCAGTTACTGTATTTTTCAGCTCCAGAATTTCATTTTGGTTTTTTATGTTTTCTATCTCTTTATTGATACTTACTTTTTTTCTGTGGATTTACTTTTTCTTCTGAATGGTCCATACTTTCCTTTTTTTTTTTTTTGTATGCCTTGTGAGTTTTGGTCGAACATTGGACATTTGAATCTAATAATGTGGTAACTCTGGAAATCAGATTCTCTTTCTTTCCTAGGGTTTGCTCTTTTTTGTAATGTGTGTTATTATTTATTGTTATAGGTAGTCTCTGGGTCAAGTATCAGCGTGAGGCATCAACATAAGGTCTTCTCAGGTTTTTTTCTGGGCTTGAGCTTTTCCCTGGGTATGTGCAGTCAGTCTCTAATTTTCCCTATATGTACAGTTGATTTTGAATGTGCTGGTACTCAGTGTCTGGCTCCCTACAATGGAAAAATAGAAAAATGAAGGGCAGAAAAAGGGCACTGGTCCTTTAAATCCTCTGGAAGTCGCTTCAGCCAGAGTGGGAGAAGGGACTTCTCGCAGTCGGGGGATGTACAGCAACAGTGGCTGCCTACCTCTTTGTCTGCATCTCTGTGTTCATAGGCAGTTATCAGAACACAGATCTCTAGTTTCCTTTTGCTCATTTTGGCTCTGTATGCTGGTTGCTCTGGGAACGTGTGCATAACTGCCTGCCAAGGAGTTAGGAGTAGACATTGGTAGCTGCTACTGTGCTAAGAGCTGAAATGGATTGAAATTAACCTCAATTTACTATCTAGGTCATCCCCTGGAAGTTGCAAGCCTTCAGTAGTCTCCAGAGTTCTAAAGTATTACATCAGGCAGATTCTGCCACTGCAATTGTTGTCTAGGTGGAGAGACACTTTCCGAGTGCTTCCTACCATCTTCCCAGAATCCTCATTAAATCTTAAGCCATATCTTTAATTTGAATGGCTTTGACAAATGAATAAATATAAGCATACTTTGGCCATTTACCAAAGCATGGTTGTAAGTGTCCATTACTTTCTCCACCTAGGGGAGCAGAAAATGAAACAATCTATATTTGCCATTCGGAACCAGGGTCGTCCTAAATTGACAGAGTGCCTAAAAACAAATGAACTAACATTTATTTGCTTTTTATCTCCCACCCTTCCCCTTTTTTTCTCTCAAGGATCATTGATTTCAATGTGCTGTGATTCACTGCCACCTCTCAGGGTATATTTCTAATGAGGTTAGGAAAGCATAGAAGCAGTGCCTCCCAATCATAGGACAGTTTGATCCATCAAAGATCACTTCTCGAATGTCTTTTGTCCATGCTCGCTCATATTTCTAATATGTACTGTAACACTGGACTTAAAAGAAATTTCTCTCCAAATAGAACGTATTCATCATGTTTCTCATCTGTCATTCCTTTGGAAGTTGAAGATTTCCCTTAGGACTCAGGCTGTTGTCTTGTCTGATATCCCAAAGGCTTCTCTTGCTGAGGAAATGGGAACCATGAATCGCAGTTGATTTGGAGTAGAAACAGCCATAACTCAAGTGTGACGGCAACTCCCCTGTTTGTTTGTCAGGCTGTTAAGCCTGTTACTTCCTAAGGCAGCCTCAGAGCAAAGTGTGATTTAATTGGCTCTAGCCTGAGAAGCAAAGGTAACAGGTGCTGGGTGTTTGGAGCTTCGTGCCTGGACCTGCTTTGTCTTGGCATTAAGTCCAACAGACACAAACTAGGCAAGATGGCCCCGTAAGGATTGAGGACCAGAATAAAACTCTAATGTGCCGGAGCTCAGAGGGAAGATGAGGAGATAAAAATGTAGGTAAAAAAAATCACTTTTCTTCACTTTTAAATAAACGATAAATGTTGGCTAGGAAAATGGGCATTGTATTGAATTTATAGAAGGAAGCTGATCTCGTTTCTTTGTTTTGCTGACTGTATTCCCTGCTGAAGTTTTATGTATAAGGTAGGAGGATCCAAGGAAGGGGACAGATGTGGGGCCCCTGCTGTGAATACCCCAGGGGCTGACTTCTGGGAAACTTGTTCACCCTCTGGAAAGAGTCATCTGTGCCTCCTGCCAGTGAAGGGGCTCCCCGCACCACCGCAGCTCTCAGCGCTTCTGTAGCCTGAGGGCTGTGCCTGGGATCGGCTGCCTGCCGGTAACCATCAGTTGTTTCTCATCAGGCTCATTCCTGGTTAGGAGTGGGCAATTGTGAAAGGAACCAAGGTTTAACAAGCCCTGGGGGAGGTGTTGCCCTGGTGTTTTCCAACAGCTGGGGGTTTATACCGGGAATAACACGAAGACTACGTGGAGTGCTTTGTGGTATCTTTCAAGCACTGTTGGCCTCTAGCAGGAGACAAGATGGGGGACTGAGAGGGCTGCTAGAGGGGAGGAGGGATACTGTGCTTGCTAGTTCCTGCACATAGTTGGTACAGTGATTAAGAAATTCACAGAATCATGGATTAAGAACAATGATGCAGATCCTGGCAAGGTGGCAGCAGTTGTGCCAGTGTTTGAATCTCTTCATAAAAACACGGAGAAAATGGAGTAGCAAAACTAAAATTCAATGATGAGCTTTGCACCAAATATACAGGTGACAAGCATCTCCACAAACCCTTAATAAGAGCACGTGAAGACTAACTAGCTTGTTACCAGCATTTGTGCAGGAGGAGGCCAAAGGAAGTGATGGGGTGTCTGATAGACCTGAGAACAGAACCCCACAATAGCCATCAGGAACTCAAAATCTCAGCGAGCCAATCTGCGAACAGCCACTAACATTGGGAGCAATTTGCAGCTCCAGTGGGTGAGTACGAGAAGTTTGTGGTAAGGCCTGCAGGGGCTGGAGCAGTCAGCATCCCAGGA